CTTATTTGAATTTATTACTACTTATTTTGTTTAAATATCGATTATTGTAGGTTATATTTAAGTTTGGATTGATTTTAATCAAAGAAGTGAAAATTTGCCCAAGCTTGGTAAAAATAAAGAATTTCAAAGTTTGGGGACTAAATCACAAATATATAAAAGTTGATTCAAATTTAGAAATGGCGATGGAAGATTTCTTGGACTCAATTGGGTGAAAATGAAAGACAAATAACTAAAATTAGAATAAAAAAGTAGTTTGGCCGAGCAATTTATTCGGGGATCAAATTTCACAAATTAGAAAGTTACTGATGCAGTTGTGATTGCAAGGTCAAAAGAGGCTGCTATTGCAAACGGAAAAATTGCAGAAGTGGGCATGAAATTGTCTAAAAGTTGCGATCATACCCACAACTATGGTGCGATTGCAAGGAATCCCCCAAAAAATTTAAAATCATTATTCCAATAGTCATTTTTCAACCAAAACTTCAAATTGGATGCGGATTTCAAACTAAATTGGACCCTTATGAATACAAAGCCCCGTCAAACATTATAGAGAACCTCTTATATCATATAATACACCAAATCTTGGGATAAAAAAGAAGCAATTCATCATTGTTTCAAAAATATCAAGAGGTAAGATACAAGAATTTATTCCATTGAAGATCTAAGCTTGATCTTTGGTCAAAAGATGAGGAAGGCGCAACGAGAGATCAATCAAGAAACCATCAAAAAGGTTCAAAGACTTCAAGATTCTTCCCCTTTTCTTCATTCAACTAAAAATCCAAGTAATGTTCTACAAAATAATTACGATTTCATCTAACTTTATAATGCTAAGCTAGACTTTTATTTACTAAGACATATATCAACCCTTGTTTTGGATTTTTAATATAATTTCAATATTTTTACGCCCGATACGTATTTATTCTTGGACGATTGTTATATGGTTTAATGCTTTTCAATTACTAGATCTATCATTGAAAGCATTGAATATATATATATATATATATATATATATGCCTTGCATGATTTCAATAGTTGTTCTAAGGTTTTTAATGCAAGTTTTCATGTTTGCATATTTCATAAAGATATAGGAAAGTCACATTAAAAAAAATTTTATTTCTACTCGAGAGATTATAAATTAATTTAGGAACAGTTGTTCGTTGTAATATTTAGCTTAAATAGTTAATTAGTATAAATTCTTCATACAAATTCAACTGTTAGATTAGAGTTAGCATTAATTGATCCTAAATTAAATACATAATCTTCGTAGGGTGATACTCTACTTATCATTATATTATTTATCTATGATGAAAGCCCAAGAACGACTAATCAAGAGGGGTGAATTGGTTATTTAAATATTTTTTGAAAATAAATGCTAATATAATTAAATTGCAAATAAGATAAAGAGCAAGTAAAATAACTTTGAAAAATAACAAAAGAAAGGGAAAGAAGATGCAAATGATATAGTACGGAGGCTTGATACAATCGCAATCTAAGTCCCCTGTTACCAAACTTTCCGTCATGAGCAAGGCCTTTTTCACTAAATATGATTGACTTATGGTGCAATCTAACATTCTACAAAACTTTCGGTGACTTACAACCAATGAGCACTGATCTCTTTACAATGTTGAGCTTTTCGGGACCTCAACACAACCCTCAATCGAAAATAAGAGAATGAAATGTTACAAGTGAAAACTTCCCTCTTACTTGATGGAATGGTCACAATCAAGTATTGAGAGAAAAGTAGGCTTAGTGTTACTTTGAAAAATTTAAGATAGAAAAATATTTATAATAATTTGGATCGCTCAAGAATTTTTTAGGATGTAAATAATTTGATCTTCTAAAGAATTAAAAGAGTAGTTGAAATCAATAAAAGCTTCACTTAATGCTCAAGAAAAGGTTAGTTTAAATGAGAAAGTGGAAGGGTATTTATCGAGTGAAACTGCCAAAAAAATTTGTCATGCCGAATGAGGTATACCGGATGTTCTCTATCATACGGGACAGTCCACTAGTCGTTGCTTTTTCAGAAGTCAGAATGGTTGAAAAATTTTACCCTTTTTCTACCGGACGTCCGCCAGATGTACCAAATGTCCGCTGCAGCAAAAGTCGATTTTCTCCAATCATTTGATTAAAGCAATTTTTTGAGAAATATTTATATATGATTTTTCAAGATAATTGTCATTTCATGGAATAAGATTGAATTTGTTATCTTGGAAAAATATTTTAAAAGTGTTTTGGTGAAATAATAAATATTTGCATATAAAGTCAACAGTTGAATCTTTTTGCGATATATTGTCAAACTATTGAAGCATATTATCTTTACATATGAGATTAAAAGTTCTAAGTCTACTATATTCAATACGACTCTTTATCTTGGGGTACATGTCATACTTAGACTTTTCCACCATATTGATTTTCCTTTATCGTCGCTTTGCCTCTTCAAAGTTTGGTTTGCATATTGTCTATCAACACTCAAATAAATTTGTTATAAATAAATGTGATATATTTGTGATAATCAAAACGAGAAGTCAATCATTGATCAACATATAATGCCATGCACTTTCAAGATCTCGTACGATCAAGTGTTTCACATCATTGTCAGTGACTATAGTATTTAGTTAGTTTTCATTTGTTATAGCTTTAATTTGAACTTTTATTGCTTTCTTAGTTTTTAAATTCATATAATCAAAAATTACATTATTTTCTCTCATTCTTTTCAAGATCTTACATGTAATGTTCGAGACACAGTGATCTTTTTTCATTTGATCCCAAAATCGAATGAACATTCATGTCGAGAAAAAAGAACAAATAGAAGCACACAAAAAATAGCAATTAGAAACATTGGCAGAAATATATTCAAAATTTGTTAATTGTTACAGTAAATGAAAACGCAACACATCTAGTTGGAACTAGGTAATGAGAAGAAAAAATTAATGGGAGAATACATGTTTCCACTAATGGTAAAAAGTTGATCCAACATTCAAGCAACCAAATTTCCATTGTGGAAATACATGGTTCCATATCATGTCATACGGAAGCAGTATTTCAAACACACAAATGCAAAAACTGTCATTTCTTCTCATGCAAAGGCAACAGCACAGTTACATCATGGCATATGAAGGCAACAATATAGGTATGTCATGAACACGAAGGTAGCAATGCAGGCACATGTAGCAATTCAAGCACGTTGTAGCACCAAGCCAAGATATCGTAACACATGAAGGCAACAATGCAACCACGTCGTAGTATACGAAAGGAACAACGGAGACACACAAAGTTAGCCACTCAGGCACATTGTGATAAGAAGTTAGGTGCATGATGGCAAATGAAGACAATAACGTATGCACATGAAGGCAGGAAAGCAAGCACGTCGTAGCACACGAATCCAGCAACATAAGCTCATCGTGACACGGGAAGCAAGCATTTAAGGCCAACAAAGGCATCAACACGACCACGTTATATTACACGAAAGCAAAACTCATGCACGTTGTGGCACCATGTTAGGCACATCGAAGCATAAAGAAACAGCAACACAGGCACATCAAAGGTAGCAACTCAAGCACATTGTGTCATACGAAGGCAGCAATGTAGGCAAGTATTGGCATACGAAGGTAGCAATGCACTCACACAAAGGCATCAACTCAAGTACGTAGTAAGACCAAGTCGAGCACATCATGGCACATAAAGAATGCAAGCACGTCATAGCACAAGAGCACAGCAACTCAGGCACATCCTGGCACACTAATACATCAATGTAGACACATCGTGGCACTAAAAGGCAGTATTTCAAAAATACAAAGTAGTAACACAACCACATTATGTTATACAAAGGCAACAATGCAGGCACATCGTGGTACATGAAGCCAGCTTTTAAAGCACGCGAACATAGGAACAGGGCTACGTCGTATCACTCAAAAGCAGCAACTCAAGTACATCGTGTTATCGAGTTAGGCACATTGTGGAGCAAGAAGGCAATAATGTAGGCACGTTATGGTACGTGAAGGTAGCTACATCGTGGTACAAAATTGGCACATCGTGGCACACGAATAAGGCAACATAGACATGTCATGGCATACAAATACAACAACGAAGGCAACAACTCAAGCACATTGTGGCACCATGTCAGCCAAATCGAGATACATGAAGGCAACAATGCGGGCTTATTGTAGCATGTGAATACAACAATGAAGGTAGCAAGTCGAGAAACATGAAGGCAACAATGTAGGCTCATCATAGCACACGAATACAAAACGAAGGCAGCAAAAAAAAAAATACAAAACCTAAAAACTTTAATTTGATTAGTAATTTGTCTAAAACGCTGAACTCTAACCCTAATAAATCAAAACTGGCTCCCACCTTTTTTGCCTCACGCTTCACGTTATATTGTTGCTTTCAAAGTTAGAATATGTTAATCTTTGCAATTGGGCTTTCTAAGAATCAAAAAATTAAAGCTATGTTGTAGTGTAAGTCGATAAATTGAAGCGTTCATTCTTTCCAATCCAAAGAACGATGTCAAGGCTCCCATAGAGTTTCACGCGCACACAACAAAAAAGGAATATATGCGACATATTCAATTACTGGAAAACAGGTTTCCTACGAGAACAAATAAATAATCAATAATTCACCCGAAGAACACAATTTCATGTTTCGAGAAATGGTACCATTCAACAGCCATCATTTATCATCGAATAATTCTATTCATCATTAGTTGTAATCAACCCAAACAATCAAGAGATCAATTTTTTTCCTTCAAGAAACTTGGCATTGAGAGAGAACAGAAATTTGTACCCATGTGTGGAGCTAATTTAAAAATTGGAAAGAGAACAAATCAAGAGTGAGTATTTCACACGAAGAACACAATTTTAAGCTTCGAGAAATGCTGCCATTTGACAGCTCTCATTTATCATCTGATAATACTATTCATCATTAGTTGTAATCAACACAAACAATCAAGAGATCAATTTTTTCCCTTGTATAGGTTAATATTTAAAATAGGTAAAGAAGAATTAAAAACGCAGTGGTTGTATAAATGACTCCATTAATTAATATTTTCAGTTCGAAGAAAATCCTCCACTCAATTACAATATTTTCAGCCGCCAAAAGACCTAATCAGACCTACTGAAGCTTCCCCATGGCATGACCATCCCTTGTGCATAAATGAACGAGAACCAGCAAACGAGCTCATTTAACTATCACGTGTTTAGAGTATCTTACTGGATCTCCTTGTGTCATGTTCAGAATCAATGTTTAGCTGTATCTACAGAAATCGACTGAAGAACACATCCATAAAATATCTTGATGGATTGAAGCCGCTCAATATCACTGCAAGAAAGACAAAATGTGCAAATGCTAGGCAAAAGAAGAGAATTCATAATAAAAACTGGGTATTGAGATACTTACAGATAGGGGAAAGGACTATGACAATGCCAATTGGATATAGAAATAAAGTCGTTCTCTCCAAAAAGGGCAATACTGCATCATTGGAGAAGACAAACCACCAAAAGAAAATTTATTAGCATATATAAATTTCGGCAAGAGAATTTTTTTGTGTTTTTACAGAAAATCCGAAAGCCCAAAATCAGAGAAAATGGGGAGCATATAATAAATTATAAAATCCCTAGTACGTTAGCATATTAGCAAATGGAAAGGCAAGTCCTCCAGGTAAAATCTATCTTACCATCATAGCCTAAAAAATTGATGTAATGATAGTAGGAAAGAGCCACCATGAAGAGCAAATTTGATAACAATTCAGGAACAAAACCATGAGCTACAAGAAGAGGTGATAGAAAATAATGCACAATAGAAGTGTGACTTTCCCAACAAGTGCAAAAAAGCTCCATTCATCGTAAATAAGGATATTATCAAATAAAATGGAGATGTCAAAAAATGGAAGGGAAAAGAGGAGAACTTGCCACTCTACCCTTTGCTCCACCACATGGCTGTTTGGAGCTTCTTCTCGAAGATAATTGTTTGTAAAGAACCTGCATAAAGTTTGCTGAATAAGTTTCAATTTTGCCAACTTAAGTAATCGCAAAGGATTATTCTCAAATGATGCACGATTTGACCAAATATAAATGCAAGGTTATCATCTTAAGTTTTTAGTTCAATAAACTTCTGAGGATGGCACTTCCAGATCAACAAGTTAAAATACACTTGACATGAGGACAACTCCAGATGCTCCAAGCTTTTGGTGGTTTATGCAAATCCAACATGTTTGACAAGTTCAAGTCCAAAAGCACATCGTGTTAATCCATAAAGAAATACGGATAAGATCCAGGTTCTACCTGAAATTTCATTAATTCGATTATCATCTAAAATTTATTTTATATTCCATGATGATAAATTTTAACCTGCAAATTTCATTCTTGATATAGCAAAAAGAATGAGAATAATTAATGTGCCTCGTATTTAACGTTCCAGAGTAATATAATTTGAGACCTAGGGAAGAAATTCAGCAATTTTTGGCCTAAATCTGGAATTCCCAACTTAGACCTTGTTTGTTCCCGGTTATTTTCAAAACACATTTTTCTCTCTCTTTTTTACAACCATGCATTCTTTAATAAAATAATATCACACACAAATCAAAAACTTTTTCTTATTTTTTAACTACAATTTTTCATCAATCTACTATTCCAAAATACATTCTTACAACAAAATGGAGCTCAAACAGGCTCTTATTAAGTTAAGTGTATGGTCAGGAAAATCAGTTTTACTTCTTCCACAACGTTGCACAGAATTACACCAAAGCACTTTCAAGTCCTAGATTTTTTGGAAAAGATAAAATCACTAGAATTGCTTCCTGCATCATATTAATTCCATTCTTCAATCAACCTCAACTCAAATAATGGAACAGCATTTCTTATGGGGTTTACCATCCAAGTATGCACAGCTCGGTCTGCAAATGTAGAATATTTCTGCACTCGACCTTTACCACTGGGAGTATGGGAAAAGGACCTCCCTCATTTTTTTCCTAATAAAATGATAGAACTTAACTTGAATTGTCACATAATTAAACTGGAATGGCCTAGAGAAGGAGGGTAAACAGTTCTCCTAATTTGAATTCAATCGCCCAAGTCATAAAATTATGACAAAATTACAGTTTCACAAACTAAAATTAAAACCAACCGAGATTGTAAGAAGGGTACTTGCAGTGATAACTTTTAATCTATTTATACATATCAGCAGTTGTCCTTACCAACAAAATGTAGCCAAAACTGTCCCGGTTATTAGGAAATGGAAAAGCAGTACTGAAAGAACTACAAAAACAGCATGTCCTGCACTATGATCATACCTGAAACAAATGACAGATAGCACATTGTTGGAAGATCAGAATTAATGCACAAATACTATATAGTAGGTGAAAGGAAACATTCTGGACAAGTTAGAAGGACAATGACATGGAAACTTTTCTGACAAAAACCTCAAAATGTTAAAAAGCAAACATAATGTCCTAAGTATCAAAACTAAGAATTCACTCATAAATATTCTCTTATTATTTAATATATAACCAAAAGAAACCTCCTACAAGTCTTGTCAATAACAACATTGCTAAATTCACCATAGAAAGCAAGTTCACAGACACTTACGCTGCACAATAAGCTATTGTAGAAACTGCCAAAAGAAGACTGCATATCACAACAAAAGCAGGATCATCACGTGCCCATTGGTTCTTTGTTTCTTCAACAAAGAAACATAAGAACAATTATGAATTCTGTGAGTTACAGACCTGTCAAATCTATCAAATTGGTTGTTCCCTTAGTATAAGTGGAAGTCATAAAACAAAGATGAAAACCAACAAGAAACTCAGTAATCATGAAATATACTTGAAGCAACTACGAAAAGTGTAAACTCATATAACATAGACATGGTTCAGAAGGTCTAACATAAATATGTGCTTAGGCTAAAGCTACTGCTATCACATCAACAAAAGTGCCCAACGAATTGTTCTAGTTATAAACTAGCTAAGCAGTATATGTCTTTCATGGTTTCTTTTAAGGTTTAGAATTAAGGCCTGAAAAGATGACAAGCATAATTTATTTTGTTCACAAAGTCTATGGTGGCATTCATCCAGAACCATACCAAGTTTATCGGTTTACTGAGAGAAAAATGCAATGATTATAATGTTCAATGAACAGGATTCTGTAAGTTGAAAATCTTTAGACATATTAGTGCTTAAAGATGACAAGACCAAAATGCACAGCATAGCAAATAGAGACACTGACTTAAAAAGATGGCAACATAATTATCAAAACTGAAGTATATATGTGGACTAAAAGAGGAAAAATTAAAGAACACTTACGCTTATGGTACTTCGTGTGTTGATATCTACACCCATTTCATCATACATGCCGACATGAAGAATTATCATCAGAAACTCAAAAATATTGTAAATAAATTATCAGGACATCTATTTTTCTTTAAGAACCACAAATAGAAAATTACCAGTAACACAACTTGTATGCAAAATCAATAATAATAATTCTTGTTTAAAAAATTTAACTTTCATTTTTTTTAAAGTAAAGACAATTTGCTTCCAATCCTCATGTAAAAGTTAACTTTCATTTTTTTTTTTTTTTTATTTGAACAATTTTGCCTTCTTCATTTTAAATAGAGGGAAGCTACATAAAAGAATAATTCAGTATGCAAAAACTAGTGTTCCAAAATTTGGATGACCATCCAATACACAATCAATAAACTTGAAAAATAACTCATGCCACCTAAAATCTTTAGAATCCAGATACTTACACCACTTTCGGGGAGGTACATAGGTGAAGCATTTGCCAAAAAGTATATTCAATGTCCATTTGTTGCCACTGCAGCCAACCGAAAGAAATGGATGTCATTTGAGGAAAAGAGTAAAAACCAATGTATTTATAAATTCATGAGAGATAGAAAGCACATTGCTTCAATCGGGATACTGACAATCACAGAGACCCAGTAAAGAAATGCAAGTTTCAATACTACATAGACAGTCCACAAATTAAAATTTAGACATGTCCGCAGGTAAAAAGTAAAGCAACTGAAAAGATCAGAAAGATCACAATGGTTAAGACAACTTTCTCTGAAGCCTACTCAACTGTTCAGTCATGGCCGATGCAAAGGCACTTTGCACTCTACGCCTAGAATCTCTGGTAATCATATATTAGTATCATACCAAATTTAAAAATAACTAGTCTACTACTATGCTTCCTGAATTATAATGATACACTAATATTACATCATTTTCTTATGTGTAACTTTCCATGCCTTCTGTTTTCTATCAGCCATTGAAAGTTGCATCATCAAACATCAGCCTCTCATTATTTTTTCGTGTTTTCCCAAGATGTTGAAAGTTCCAATATTCTGGCCCTGCCAAAGACTTATTGCGTTGCCATTTGAATGTGAAATACTTGTTTAATTGGCACTAGGTTTCAGCTTAAGTCTCTCATAAAGTAGAGGTCTTGAGTTCGAATTCTAAAGAATGCGACAGAGAGATATGAGGGACAAGAGGGAAGATTCCCTCCTAAAACAAATAGAATGTAAAAAAACAGCCGGGTTGGAAGCTTGGATCATTATAAAAACGAGCATTTTTTGTAACAAACCGACCTCTATACCCAAATCGTTAACTTATGTACCGTCCACACTCTAGGAGAATTTGAGCCCATTACCCCTCACAAATTTCAATTGCAGCCTCAAAATTCGAACCATGACCTTTCCCTTGAGAGAAATTTAAATTGAATTCTGGTACCAATTGGACTTGAAAGGAAGGATTGTCCAATAAGGGTGGCTGTCCCAGGTTCATATTTGTTAATGAGGTTAAATAAGATTAAGGAGATCGTCGAAGATCACAGCTTGACGTTTATATTATCATTATAATTATATTATATATAGTTAGATTGTTTTTACCATATTTAGATTATAGGTTACCATTAGTTAATATTGTAATTGATTGCTACTATATTTAGTGGTGATTTTGGTTCTATTTAATGTGAGAACCTGTCACATCGGGAGATATCGAGTCTTATTGAGTATATTTGACATGGTATCAGAGCTTGTTTCTTAGAATTTTCTCTCGTTTTCTTGGTTGTTTCTGCAATATTTGTTGTTTTTGGTCTCTTGTCATTACTAATTTTAGTAGATGATTGCTCTGATTTGGATTTCTCCTTCGTGGGCACAACTATTATCACTGTCAACAGTTCATGATTGCAAAATGATACTTTTACCAGCATCAATTTGAAGGGGATGTTAATGAGGTTATATAAGATTATGAAGATCGTCGAAAATTACAACTTGACGTTTATATTATCATTATAATTGTATTGTATATAGATATATTAGTTTTACCATATTTAAATTATAGGTTATCATTAGTTAATATTATAATTGATTGCTACCATATTTAGTGGTAATTTTAGTTCTATATAATGAGAGAACCTCGTATAACAGGAGGCATCGAATCTTATTGAGTATATTTGACAATATTGAAACCATACCAACCCAAACATAAGACCAGAAACTGACTACCTTCAATATATGTGCTTCAGTTTCAAAATTTGACTTTCAAATCACACTTAAACCTGCTTCATCTCATTAGAAATAAAAATTATGGTAAGTCTGGGAGTTAGTTACCAAACACTAGGTAATTTATCATCACTCGGAGTAGTCTTATTGGAATTACAAATGTAGTACCAGCAAGCCATATCTCATTATAGAAGACATCCAATCAAATTACATTGCATCTGCCACTAGAATTAAGGCTGGTACCTCCCGTAAAGTCCTGAATGAAAGTTTCATAAGTTTCTCTTCAGTTTGTCCTATTGGACTGCTCCCCATAAACTAATTGATGAGTGCTTTACACTCATGATATTTATGCCACTTCATTATTTTGTTATCCTTGAGAGCATTTTAAAACGTTTTAATGTGTGCTTTAATGTTGTGATATAAGTTGACGAAATTGAAGGAAATAAACAAAAGTTGGCAAAATTGGAGAAAATGGACCAAATTGTAAAAGATTCAAAGTTCGGGGACTAAAATGTAAATAATCAAAAGTTGTGTTGAACCTCACAATGAAAATCCAAGAGTGTTAAGAGTCAATTGGATGAAGAAAGATGTCAAAGGAATCAAATTTAGCCAAAATATGATTACAAATCAATTTCCAATCGAAAAGATACGCTTCGGAGTTTTCGTCTCATATTGGGACCTACTTTGGACATAGCAAACGATTGAATCGGAGAATGAAATCTGAAGCAAAGTTGTAGCCCTTTGAGTTATCTTTCCAATACATCTTGAATCACCTCAATCGGATATCGGGAGAAAAAGTTATGCTAAAAAACTGAAAGACTCGCAGTCTGTTTTTTCGGCCGAACTGGGCACCAAGCACCCATGATTCTAAAAATGACAAGAATGGTTGGAGCCTCAGCGCCCATTTTGGGCGCCGGATATGCGGGAAAAGGATTTTTTATGTTTTTTGACTCTTTTCTTGGCCCAACTCAACCCTAATTCGTCCAAGAACTTCAAAATACTATAAATATCATTCAAAAGACCTATTTTCTCGAACAATTGAAGGGGCAAGATTAAAGACAATTCAACACACAATTCATCAAGGAATCAAGCAAGGAGGCTGAGTAACATCAGGGGAAATTTCAATTAAAGCTTCAAAATCGTTTTTCTTTCTTTTTCTCTTTATGTTATTCATCAATATGTTTAGTTTTAATTCTTCCATCATGAACTAAACATCTAATCTAGATTTTGATTGTAACCAAAACTTGAGAATATGGATTGATTAATTTTAGTTATTTCTATTTGATTTTCCATATGCATTTATTTATGTTATGATTTTAATACTTTCAATTAATTGGCCACTAATTGAATGGGTAGATGCTAGTCAATTTCGGCACTCGAGGGGAATTTAGGCATGATCATAATATTGACACAACATAAATTTTATGAAGCTTACTCCATAAAAGAACTAGGATTTTGATAAATTATTGATTTTAATTTGGAATAGAGATGTTGGAATTAATTTCTAAGATTAATTTCTAACCAGCACTCGAGAGAGGGGATGAAAATACAATTGAGTTCTAGCTTATAAACCTGGAAAACTGATTAGAGATAACTAAGGAAGCGTTCCCTCCGTTTTTCAGCCATTTTCTATTTTTAGTTTTCGAAAACGCCCAAAATAAGTTTGGTCATTCGTTTCCGAAAATGCATTTCTGAAAACAATGAAAATTTTATAACTGAAAACGCAAAACGATTTTTTTCATTTTGGGCGTTTTCAGTTAAAAAACCTAAGATGCGGAAAATGCTCAAAACACACCGTTTTTGATTTTTTTTTTTTTTTTTTTAAGTGATGCTAAGCAATACTTTTAAAATAATAAATTCACCAAATTTAAAATATATATTATCTGGTAATATATTAGCTTAAAATTATTATGTTTTACTAAATAATCAAATTAATTGAATAAATGTCATAAAACAATTTCCTAACATTTATTATTTTATTTTTGTAGTAAGAAAAAATAGTAAATTCACCAAGTTTAAAATATATATTATCTGGTAATGTATTAGCTTAGAATTATTATGTTTTACTAAATAATTAAATTAGTTGAATAAAAATTTCTAAAAATTTATTATTTATTATTTTATTTTTGTAGCAAGAAAAAATAGTAAATTCGCCAAGTTTAAAATATATATTATTTGGTAATGTATTGACTTAAAATTGTTATGTTTTACTAAATGATCAAATTAGTTGAATAAATGTCATAAAAAAATTTCTAAAAATTTATTATTTATTATTTTATTTTTGTAGCAAGAAAAAATAGTAAATTCACCAAATTTAAAATATATATTATGCATTAACTTAAAAATATTATCTTTTACTAAATAATCAAATTAATTGAATAAATGTCATAAAACAATTTCTAAAAATTTTAAACCAAACGCATTTTCTAGTTTTTTGTTTTAAGAAACCGTTTTTCAAAATGACAAACCAAACACATTTTCTATAATTCAAAAATAGTCCCTCAAAACAGAAAACGCAAATACAAACGAACCGCACCCTAAACTTTTGAAAATCATAATTGATGGTGAGGTAAAATAACAACCCTAGGCTTTCTCATCTTGATTATTCTTATAACTTACATTTATTTGTTGAATTTGTCACCACATTCATTATATTAATTTAATTTAAAGCACTGATTCCAAATCTCATTCATCTAGATAAAGTGAAAGCTACATAATTATAGCACTTGGTGGAAATTGAATTACAATCTCTGTGGGTTCGACACTCTAACTCTAGTACTATATTAAAAAACTTGACACGGTACACTTGTGGTATAAATCACGTTGTAAAAAACGCGTGGCACTAATGAAATACTAAAAATTTACGAAATTATCTGGGATGGGATTTAAATTATTAGATTATAACTTCGTTGGCAACAAGATTAACATATAATCATTGAGCAACTTACAACATCAAAGCAGAGTGAAATGAACCATCCTTAGCAAATCTGAGTTACATTTTGACAAGGGAAGGTACTGAAAAAATGAAGTTTTGCGCTTATAGAGTTAGTTTTGAACTCTTATCTTATATTATCTCAAAAATTGAATGGTAGCAAGAAATTTTAAGAATTTTAACATGCCATAAATTAACTATATATTTTCTAATAGTAGCATTTGGTGCCACTGACCCCACTATGGATTAGAGGATGGGTGGAAAAGTCAGCAAGTTTATTGTGCAAAATTAATAACCACACATGGCTCACTATTAGCCTATTGGACAGCGTTAGAACTCGTTTTTTTTTTTTTTTTTTTTTCACTTGCTATGTGGGTTAAAGTGGATGCCAATAATTTTAACATGTCAGTAATTTACAAAAAAAGTGGGAAAAAGTGGGTTAAGCTGGGACCCAGTCACAAAAAAGTTCACCGCTAGTGATGAAGTGTGGGATAATTACTTCGAGGTAAGTGTTTATATAATTTTTGGATAAGGATTAAATTATAATTCTCTAACAATAAAGGATGACTTATCATCTTTTACTATATTTGTTCTTTGACAGTCCCATCCAAAACAAAGGCACCTTCGTACCGACACCTTTCCTGACTATGAAGACTTAAGAATAGCAATTGGCAATGCTACTGCTACAGGGAGAACCTCAATTAGTTTGTATAATGAATCAGATACAAGAATATATGGTGTTGAAGAAAAGAGGCAAGTTACAATAGATGACTATGTGTTCGATGAGAGTCAAGAGGCATACATACAAACTCAACAAAATCATTCAACCAATGCTCCATCATCTAATAATTATGTCTTTCCCATGTACCATGGAAACTAACAAGGAATTCCCTGCAGAGACTACAGAAAGCAAACTAGAACTCAACATGAGAATTCTAGCTCATTTGATACAATGACCCAAGCTCATGTTCAAGAAAAGATTTCTCTTGGCATGGATTCTTTTACGGGAAATGCAACTGATATTCAGGATATTCTTTTAATAAACGATAATTTGGTTTTTTAGTATAAAACATCTTGACTTTTCAGTATCCAATTTATCATCACATTACAAATAAACTTGCTTACACGGGAGATGGGAATCAAGAGAAGTCACATTTCAAAAGCAACTAAAAACATGTGTAGATGGACTTAGATTAACCATTAGAATTTGCATATTTCAACATAATATTCATTAGAAAGTTGCTCGTCCGACATAATTTGGTTCACAAAGAAAAATAAACTTTAAATAATAGGTCCAGCTCTTTTTTATTTAATTTTTTTTTTTTTTAATTTTTTTATTTTATTTTATTTTTTATTTACAGGGTTCAGTTAAAGATTTGCTTTGGGCAATTGAATAGGTAAAAATACAATTATAATAGAGAAATCTACAAATCCAGGAGAATCTATAGAATCCTTGAGAATCTTATGAAATTTGTTAAATTCTATTGAATTCCATAAAATCCATGAGAATTTATAAATATTATGAAATCTATTAAAATTTGATTTGATCACACCCTCGAAAATATCGTTCAAACAGATTTTGCCATAGCACCAGTTCCCCCGATCTCAATTCTTCAAAATATCAGAATTCCAGAATTGAATAAGCACAAATAACAAAACTAGGAGGAAAAACGCAAATAAACAGGAACACATGGGAATCAAGGATTCATTTCTTTATTCACTAAATTCCCGTCCTTCATCTAAAAAAATCATAATAAACAACATGACTCCTCATTGGGAAACATTTCATCTTTCATAACCAAATGCATAAGCGCAGAGATGTTGATTAATGCAGTGAAATGCGAATTATGCGACATCTTCCAAAAGATTTTACGAGTAGGATCATTATCAGATCTATATGAAATCTATAGAATCCTAAACAGCTTCATATTTCTCCATGTATGTATGAGTAGGAAAATGAACCTTGATTATTCTGCGGAGGTACTGAGGGAGGAAAGAATTGGGTCGGGTATGAGAACCCGAACGCCCTTTTGTTGATGAAGAGGTAGGCAGCATACTCTTGTTCCTTCTACTTATTCTTCTTCACTTCTCTGATTTACACGATTCCTTTTTCGTTCTGTTCAATTGCCCGATCAAAGATTTGTTCAATTTCACAGCACTTGTACCGTCTTGTTCGTCTCTCTCTCGCTCTCTCGCTCAGCTGCGAATGGGCCCATTTAAGTTTGAGGCCCGAGGGTTGCAACGACTCAAACATACACGATTCCTTTTTCGTTCTGTTCAATTGCCCGATCAAAGATTTGTTCAATTTCACAGCACTTGTACCGTCTTGTTCGTCTCTCAAACATGAGCTATAAGCCCAAACGAGGAATATATGGGTGAGTAAGCCCTTGTTCGATTCCAAAACTTTTCTCATTCTTTTTAAAATACATTTTTTTACTTTCTTCTTTTTAATCACACACTCTAATAAAATAATATTACACATAAATTTAAAAAAAATTATTTCTTACCTCACATTCTTCATTAATGTGCTCTTCTAAAATGCATTATTAAAAAATAATGGGATTCAAACAAACCGTAAGTATGATAAATTTGCCTGATGACGGCATCACCAAACAACCTACACCAAATTCAGATTAATGTGTGCACCACATGTGACCACTATTACAAAACCACAGCCTGCACCATTACTACCTCCACAGCCACCACCAACATAAACACAGCCGAACAAACTAACAACAAACGCATCGCGCACCACTACAGATGCAAACACAACACAACATACGCACCACGATCAACATAGCCCAAAAATCATCACTACAGGAGCTTCGATGCAAGCCACCGATCGCAGCTCCAGCGGAGAGCTGGCACCACCTGTGGAATGAAGTCGTCAGAGAAGTGGAATGAAGCATCAATCGAAGCAACAGTGGAATGAAGTCGCTGCAGGCAGCAGTAGCATATGCAACGACGATGCACTGAGGCACCGCTGCACGCGAGGTGGAATTGTGTCGCTTCAGGGAGTAATAGCGTCGCTAGCATAGAGGTACTCCAACTGTGAGGGAGGCGGTAATTTCAACGTCGGATGAGGAGATGAAGGGAAATTGTCTCTTAATCTTCGTCCCAAGAAGGGCTATTTTAATGTGGCGGGGGAGATGGGGATAGAGAGATATAGGGAGAGAAAAGAGAGGAAAAATTAATTAAGATTTGGGATGAAATTTGTATTATAATATTTAATATTTAAATATGAAATATCTGATTTTTGAATAATGAAACCTTCAGCTTAATTTTAGCATATTGATATTTAAAAGTAGTGTGCACAAGAGGGAAAAATTCATATATACGAGAGTAAGTATGCTACATTTCAAAATTAAGAAGCAATGTTTAAAACTTTAAAAATCAGATTTATACAATTGTATTTGTAAAATAGATAAATCAAAATATATTTTATTAATTAAAAATAATAAGATTTCAATTTTATACAATGTGGTCACAAATTATTAAATTAATTGATTATAAAATTATTCTTGATTGCAATAAAAAAATTTATGTCACAAATTATTTCACGATCATAAATTAAAAATTTTATAGGTCACAATTTGTTCATTGATCACAAATTTATCAAATTGATAGGTCACATATTATTCATTGATCACAATTCACAAATTTTACAAATTACAACTTATTTTATAGTCGCAAAATATCTAATTAATCAATCACAAATTAGTTTTCGATCACAACTTATCAAATTATTAATCACAACCTAACAAATTTTTAGATCACACATTATTGGTCGTGATTTATCGATTTCATTGGTCACGGATTATATATTGGTTACACATTAACCAATTTATTGGTCACAAATAACCAAAATATTTGTGACCACCACCAACACTTCTGACCACCACCTTACCACTGCCACTAGCCGCATCGCCATCGAAATACCGCGGCTAGAACTACCACCACCATCTCCCGACAGCAAAACCATCATCTCAAACATAGCTACCAGACACCACCACCATCTGTCTACCACTCCATAACCCCCATCAAAAAATTCTCAAATCTATCACCAAGCACCTACCAATACCACACAACAAACTCCGACACCATCATCGCTACCTAATGGCGACATTACCAAACACCCCGCACCAAATCCCAATTAATGTATACACCATGTGTGACCATCACCACAAAATACCTCAAAACCACCACCTACGCCATCACCATTGCCACAACCACCACAACACAGATACAGCCCAACAGCCGAACTCTAACGCACTATAGCCACCACAGATGCAAACCCACCACAACATACGCACCGCCATCAATATAGCCAACAATCATCGCTGCAGGAGCTTCAGTGTCGGCCATGGATCGCTGCTATAGCAGAGAGCTGACACCTCCTATGGAATGAAGCCATCGGAGAAGTGGAATGAAGCATCAATCAGAGCACCTGTGGAATGAAATCGATATTAGCAGTAGCAGCAGGCGCAAAATGGTATGTGAAAGTGGAAATTTTAGTCTAAATTCATGGTGAAATCAAAAGGAATAAAAATTTACCTCAGCCCGAAAATAAATTTATCAACCACTGATCTCAGATCTCAATTAAAATGAATTTAGTACCTGTCTCGTCCACATATCAAGTCGGGTTTATGAGCTCAGCTTGGTCTTGTGGCTACCATAATTTCAACGGACATAATGATTGCAGATTCCTTACACCTTATTAATTTACCCAATCAGTCAAACACACTTGGAAGAAGTGAAGTCAGCACCACCCAAAACCACCAATTAACCACCATCCAGAAGTAGGTCATGATTTTACAATAAAGAGGGGGATAATTACGATTTGTTGGAAGTCGACCTCATTAGCCAATCAAAAAAGAGATGACGGCACACAAACCAAGCTCGGCATCATGATTGATCCAATAGACAAGACATAATTAGACCTAATTTTCTTTGTAAATTGAAAGGGATGGTCCCCTCCAAGGAAGACGTACCAGAGAAACACATGCCACTCCCATAAAGAAACACATTTGTACCCTTCATTATCAATAAAAGTGTTCTTTTGCTAAAAAGTTAACTTGAAATCGTACTTAACCATTTTTTACTTCAACAAATTTTAACCCAGCTAACTTTATTTTCAGTCCAATACAAACGTTTAATTATTCAAATTTAGTTTAAGGTTCTACAACAATTACATATTTATTTTATTTACACTCATAGTGCACAAATAACTCGTTATCAAATTAGGTATTTTATTTCATATATATATTACTAAGTTTAAAAAGTTCACGTATAATCAAATTAATTTATTATATAACAAATAATTTTTATTGGTTAAAGTAAAGAAAAATGACGTATTTTAACAATATAAGATATCACAACTTTGACTAAACTTAAAACTAATTAAATTTTTCCTTATGTATTTTTCATATTTTACTTATTTATACATGTGAATTAAAATTTTATTTATTTTAATCTTGAAATGAATGTTATTATCAAAATAAGTAATATGCTCTATATTTAATTTTATTAGTAAAAAATATATTTGTTAGAACTTTATCATTAATGTCCGAAAATATATTCTAAATATATTTTGACTCACTTTATCACAAGTATCATGAGTTTAACATTTTAAACTAAATCTCGTGGGTATAGAGCATTTTTTATGATATGAGTTCATTGTAAAAAATTTAAACTTCAGTCCACCCTATCAAATATTTCTGGTTCCGCCCCTGGCTGCATGCGAGGTGGAATTGCGCCACTTCAAGCAATAATAGTGTCGTCTAGCATAGCGATACTACGATTGCGAGGGAGGCGATGTTTCCAACACTGTATAAAGGGAAATTTCCTCTTAATCTCCGTTCCAAAAAGGGTTATTGTAATGTGAGTGTGAGAGAGAGAGAGATGGGTATAGAAAAATATAGAGTGAGAAAAGGAGAGGGAAAATTAGTTAAGGTTTAGGATAAAATTTGTATTATAATATTTAATATTTGAATATGAAATATCTGATTTTTGAATAACGAAACCTTCGCCCTGATTTTAAAATATTGATCTTTAAAAGTAAGGTGGGATATAATTTCACCAAGAATATACTGACCTTCCATGGGGGGTGTTAAATAGTGGAGCATGCATGGAAGAATTCAAAATCTCCCATACGCCCTTCATTTCCAATCAAAAGAAAGAGAAAACAGAGGAAAAAAGAAAAAATTTAAAGCCCAAAAAAAACTTGCACTATTCTTCATCTTCATTACCTTCTCCACATTTAACCAAGGTTAGTTTCGATTTTGATGGTTTAAATTTCAAGTTTATAAATGGATAGTTTAATCTTTATTTTTACTAGCAATCTTGATAAATCTTGTAATTTATGCTTTTAATATGTGTACTGGTTTATATATGTGGTTGAAAAGGAAGAAATTATGGAGTTATAATTGATTTGAATGATTTTTTGGAATTTATGGGGGCAGAGCTCGCCGAAAATGGCGAGCTCCACCATGGAGATCTGATAGGCATCGATGACAAATTGCAAATCTCAATTCGTTTTTTTCTTTAATTTTCTTTTCCTTTTTGTTTTCTTTTTCTTTATTTCCCTTTTTTTTCTTTAATTCCTTTTTTCTTTCATTTCCTTTTCCTCATTTTGCTTTTTCTTTAATTTCGTTTTTTTATTTTTCTTTGTCTATTAATTGATGGCCCAACTTTTTAGGCTGTCTATTAATAGTTGATCCAAAAAAAGTTCGAGTTTTTTTGTTAACAGGCAATCTAGATGGCCGCCTGTGCTATCTATTTCTTTATATTCATCTTATTTTTTTAATTTCCATTTTTGATTTTTTCTCTAATTTCTTTTTTTTTTCCCTCTTTCTGTTACTGATTATTTTGTGCCTAGAAATTTTGGCTCTCCTACATTTAATTTTGTCAGATAGAAGTCAAAAGGAGATTGAGATCATTGTGAGTCAAGACGACGCCACATTAAATAATATAGCTTTGATTGATTATGAACATTGTTATGGATCTTCATGTCAGTCTTTGGTTAAGGTATTTTTTTTATAGTTGTACTCAAACTTTTATTCACAACAGCTAATGTCGTTTGGTACAAAAATATGTAAGCTAGAATGAGTAAGGTTCTTATGCTTGCTTGCTTTGGTTATCACTAAAGGTTAACATGCAGGGTTAAATGCTAGAATATTTTTGGAGTACTCTCAAAGCGAATGGATGATCGAGCACTGTAATGATCCAAAACTTA